CTCATACCGAGCTAATTTACATGATATTAAAATAGAGATTTTGTTTTCATTTCGTGAAATCCTAACATGGAGGTGATGAGGTCACATAATCTTGTCTCGATTGTCCACCGTCTATTCACACTACAGGATTCGACAATTGTAGTGTGATACGGCGGGTGAAGTAGAGCTCATCTGTTTCAATGACCTTCATATAAAGGGATAGCTTGGTTTGTATTATTAGGTTGTAAGGTGGTAATACTGAAATTTTCGATACAGGCTAATTAGAGCAGTTATTACTTGTAGGCGAGCCTTTCAAATTAGGAAATTGCAATACTTCAATGTAAATTTAAAACAAAGTTAACACGTATTTACTTACAATAAAAACAAATGAACATTAAAGTTCTGTATTCACGGTAAAGATAATACGCTACTGCCTTAGTCTTCATTCATTCCAAGCAATTTTTCTTATTCAGCGTCAAAAGTCTTCAGTCTGTCTTGGGTTAAGTCACAGTCAAAAAATGTAAGTTTTATAAACTGACTTTCTAAGTAACCACTAATAAATTAAACTAATAAATTTATAACCAAATATACAGAGGATGGTTGCAGCAATCAAACATTATTTTTAAAAAAAAAGAACTTAAATGTATAGTTAGCGTTGAAAGTGATCTATTCAACATTAACTTAAATGTATAGTTATCCATTGGCGTTTTGTTGTATTTAACATTAACTGAAAGGTATAGTTATCCATAAGAGTTATGTTGCATAGAACATGATCTGAAAGGTATATTTATCAATGAGACTTAGGTTGTATTGATCATTCACTAGCTAACGCTAAAAGACTGTTGCTGTTTTTAAATTAAGTGTGGATAAAAGTTGCTGTAGTGAAAAGGTCAAGTAGGTATTTCATATTTTTCAATCGATATTTGAACAATTTGTAGTTAAATATCGATAAGAAACCAAAAGCATTCTTTAAACACACACACACACAATCATATATATATATATATATATATATATATATATATATATATATATATATATATATATATATATATATATGTGTGTGTGTGTGTGTGTGTGTGTGTATAAATATATATATATATATATATATATATATATATATATATATATATATATATATATATATATATATATATATATATTTATTTATTTATTTATTTATTTATTTAAATATATAAATAAATAAATAAATATATATATATACATATATATATATATATATATATATATATATATATATATATATATATTTATTTATTTATTTATTTATTTATTTATTTATTTATTTATTTATTTATTTATTTATTTATTTATTTATTTATACACACACACACACACACACACACACATATATATATATATATATATATATATATATATATATATATATATATATATATATATATATATATATATATATATATATATATATATATATATATGTATATATATATATGTATATATATATATATATGTATATATATATATATATATATATATATATATATATATATATTACAGGCAAAGTATGGATACCAGGTATTCTATAGACTGCCTAGGCAATGTATCCCTTTGGTTTTCAAGCAACGTATGAAATATTGGAGTTATTATATACTTTTCCTAGGCAGTATATAGAATACCTCGAGATTATGTAGAATGCATAGGGATTATAAAGAATGACAAGAACTGCTCAGGTAAAGTGTGAAATTCCCAGATTTTAAAAGTCTTTAGTAACAAACAGTCATAAGGTGGGATTGTGAAAGATTATTTTTTTAAAATCTGCCACAGCTACCGTATTAATCGTATGTATCGATGTCAAATTAATCAATCAAAAGAAAATCGCGCCTAAATTAACTTCTAAAAAAGCAGCTGTCACAATTTAAATGCCTGAATAGCCACTGAGGATTTCAATCGCAACAAGCTGACATTGTGCCAAGTCATGAACGGTCAGGTAGACTTGACTACGATGCTTGCGGTCTGCCGATAATTCCTGGATTCTGATTATTTGTACGACCGTCTGGTTGTAATTAAGCCAGGTGAAAAGCATTAGAAATATTTCCACCTGAATGTTTTCTATTTTTAGATATGCACTTACGGGCAGGTGACACTTGAGCAATAGTAATTGATTGATGTGATTCGGCGACGGAAAGTTTATTTTTATTCAAGTGTGGTTTGAATAAACTATTTCATTCTTGGCTATATGTGTACGTTTATATGTATGTGTATCTGTAAGTGTATGTGTATGTGTGCGTGTGCGTACAACTGTCTAAGAGGGCTAGTACATTTGCAGGCCTCTGACCATTTTACTCGCTAATTGCCGAGTGTTCTCAGACCACTAAAAACAAAGACAGCGGTGGAAGTAGATCACAACGTGGTGGATATATTTAACTGGTTTGGTGCTAAATCGATGGTGCACCAATCAACGTAAATAATATGTCCACCAAGTTGTGTGCTACTTCCAACTATGTCGTTTTTTAAGTGGCCTGACAACCACAAACTTGGTGAGATGATCTTGGTACACCATTATAAACTTAGTGAGATGACCTTGGTACACCATTATAAACTTGGTGAGATGATCTTGGTACACCATTACAAACTTAGTGAGATGATCTTGGTACACCATTATAAACTTGGTGAGATGATCTTGGTACACCATTACAAACTTAGTGAGATGATCTTGGTACACCATTATAAAATTGGTGGGATGATCTTGGTACACCATTATAAACTTGGTACACCATTTTACACCCACTAGGCACAGTGCGAATTGAAATGAGCAAATACCATCAGGTTCCTTACAATACCTTTCTTTCATGGCTCTGAAACTTTTCACTATTGTCTGTGTGTGTTGTATATTGTGTAAGAAACGTCAATAATTGAACACCTCTGTAGCATAGTAACTATTGGTAGAGATGTGACATATATTGTAGGACTTAGAAATTAGCTGGTATACGACAGGGAAAAGTTAGAATAGTGAGTTGTGTTAATTATCGTTCCTATCGTTGTCGTTTAGTTTTGTCATCGTGCAAGTTTAGTTTAGTTATCGTCGAGTTTTGTCATCGTCGGGATTATCTATTCTTAAGTGCCATAAATGAACAAAGCGTATTCTACACTTTGCTTGTTTGTTATTGGGTATTCAATAGAGACTAGGAAATGTATGAAATATTGATGTATTTCATACGTTACCTGCCCATTTCAGTATAAATTGGCCTAGGTGTTCTATATAATGCCGGATTTTATACTTTGCCTGTAACATATATATACATATATATATATATATATATATATATATATATATATATATATATATATATATATATATATATATATCAGGTAATTTAATTGACATGATGGAACTTAAATGCGCGATTTTAAGATGTCATTTATAGTCCAAACTACAATGATACAAATTTTATCTCAATACTAAAACTATAATACTTTATAAATTGGTGATTATCTTTAAAACTGTAAAGATGACTAAATAATTTTTTGTTACTAATTAACAGAACATACTTTTAAAAAAAAATGTTATAAATAATTAACATAATCTACCTTCTAAAATGTTTTGACTAAGAAACAGAATCTACCTTCTAAAATGTTTTGACTAAGAAACAGAATCTACCTTCTAAAATGTTTTGACTAAGAAACTGAATCTACCTTCTAAAATGTTTTGACTAAGAAACAGAATCTACCTTCTAAAATGTTTTGACTAAGAAACAGAATCTACCTTCTAAAATGTTTTGACTAAGAAACAGAATCTACCTCCTAAAATGTTTTGACTAAGAAACAGAATCTACCTTCTAAAATGTTTTGACTAAGAAACAGAATCTACCTTCTAAAATGTTTTGACTAAGAAACTGAATCTACCTTCTAAAATGTTTTGACTAAGAAACAGAATCTACCTTCTAAAATGTTTTGACTAAGAAACAGAATCTACCTTCTAAAATGTTTTGACTAAGAAACAGAATCTACCTTCTAAAATGTTTTGACTAAGAAACAGAATCTACCTTCTAAAATGTTTTGACTAGACTAAGAAACAGAATCAACCTTCTAAAATGTTTTGACTAAGAAACAGAATCTTCCTTCTAAAATGTTTTGACTAAGAAACAGAATCTACCTTCTAAAATGTTTTGACTAAGAAACTGAATCTACCTTCTAAAATGTTTTGACTAAGAAACAGAATCTACCTTCTAAAATGTTATGACTAAGAAACAGAATCTACCTTCTAAAATGTTTTGACTAAGAAACAGAATCTACCTTCTAAAATGTTTTGACTAAGAAACAGAATCTACCTTCTAAAATGTTTTGACTAAGAAAACAGAATCTACCTTCTAAAATGTTTTGACTAAGAAAACAGAATCTACCTTCTAAAATGTTTTGACTAAGAAACAGAATCTACCTTCTAAAATGTTTTGACTAAGAAACAGAATCTACCTTCTAAAATGTTTTGACTAAGAAACAGAATCTACCTTCTAAAATGTTTTGACTAAGAAACAGAATCTACCTTCTAAAATGTTTTGACTAAGAAACAGAATCTACCTTCTAAAATGTTTTGACTAGACTAAGAAACAGAATCAACCTTCTAAAATGTTTTGACTAAGAAACAGAATCTTCCTTCTAAAATGTTTTGACTAAGAAACAGAATCTACCTTCTAAAATGTTTTGACTAAGAAACTGAATCTACCTTCTAAAATGTTTTGACTAAGAAACAGAATCTACCTTCTAAAATGTTATGACTAAGAAACAGAATCTACCTTCTAAAATGTTTTGACTAAGAAACAGAATCTACCTTCTAAAATGTTTTGACTAAGAAACAGAATCTACCTTCTAAAATGTTTTGACTAAGAAACAGAATCTACCTTCTAAAATGTTTTGACTAAGAAAACAGAATCTACCTTCTAAAATGTTTTGACTAAGAAACAGAATCTACCTTCTAAAATGTTTTGACTAAGAAACAGAATCTACCTTCTAAAATGTTTTGACTAAGAAACAGAATCTACCTTCTAAAATGTTGAAATGTCTAAACCGTAGCCAGGTAAGAATTTGAAATTCCCGACGACCAAACGACTTTTGCTGTCTGGCTTCCTACTCCCACAGTGGAGAGCTCCACACGAGCCACGCCTTAAATAACGATTGCGCGCGCTGACGTCGGCAGACGATCGGGTAGGGGGCGGGGGATGTGTTAGGTACACACGACTGATCTCACTCCATACAAACACAATGTCAGTCTGTACAAACATACAAACACAATGGCAGCCTAAACAGAACTACAAACACAATGTCAGCCTATACAAACATACAAACACAATGGCAGTCTATACAAACATACAAACACAATGGCAGTGTATACAAATACAATTTCTCAGTATAAACACATACACACATTGTATATATATATATATATATATATATATATATATATATATATATATATATATATATATATATATATATGTTACAGGCAAAGTGTAAATTCACAATTTCTCAGTATAAACACATACACACATTGTATATATATATATATATATATATATATATATATATATATATATATATATATATATATATATATATATATATATGTTACAGGCAAAGTGTAAATTCACCGTTTTACTAGTTTTAGGGCCCTTGCCCGAGATGCAAACGCGCCAAATTGGGCAGGGACTCACATTCTGTGAATAGAATACTGGGGGGGGGGGGGGGATCGGTCTGCAAGCTCTCAAACAGGGGGTGAAAACTGACCGCGAGTGACCAGCGCCTAATAATATCAATACATACATGGAAAACATGTCTTTGGGTCGACACTACCTTGGACTTCGTCAAGTATTAAAACAAACCCTGGGGTGTTCGGGTAAACCTGTAGAGTAGTTCAGGCTAGAGGTCTTAGTATTGATATCTGTAGCAAATTTCAATACAACAACTTCGGCAGTTTTAAAAAAAAAAGGATTTATATACATAGGGTTATCTTTTTCAAGGCCCTCGATAACTCACTTCGGATTTCGGATTTCTTATTGGAACATTGGCGCCCAGCCTCTACGACCCCCCCCCCCCTGCGGACAGAAATCTGACCACCATGTAAATTACCACCTCTATATATAAGTGTAAACATTATATTAAATAAACCGGGAGTGATCTCCCCTAAACTTTCTCGAATATTGTTATATAAAACAAAACAGGGGATGGGAACTCGGGATATAGACATAAATTTTAATCCATTTGAAATACTTAAACTTTTTAAAATAGAATAAAATCTCGTAGAGAAAAGAATTGCACACCAGTGAACGCCAAATAAAATGTGCATAATAGTGCGGAATATTATTAGTACTTTATAAATTTACATTAGTTTTTGAGAAATCGGAAATAGCGTAAATTAGTACTTCCGGTCAACGGAAATTACTCACAATTTGATAGAAGATAGAGAATTAGACCTTTTACTTACATGTGAAATTTCATTTATCTTTCTGAAATAGTACTCAAGTTATGGCTTTTGAAAAATTCAAAGTAAAAAAGTACCACTTTCGGTTATCGTAAATCGCTCAAAATTTGATGCGGATCTACGAATTTGATAAAATACTTATATATGAAATTTCATCAACCTAGCTGTAACGGTGTAGATAGGTAAGTTATATGCTCCCTCGCCTGTCTTTCCCTAACATAACAAACGTAGTCTTCTGGGCTGAGTGGTCTCAGGGACGTTCTGTAGGCTGGGGTCAGGGACGTTCTGCAGACTGGGGTCAGAGAACCAAACTGGAAGCTTTCGGGATACCAGTTGTATTAAATATGAAATTTGTGAAATAATCAATGTTACTAGTAAAGGAAGAAGTTTATAACATTTTAGAATTAGTGTAGGGGTAATATATCAGTCACAATGTCAGTCATTCCGAACATACAAACAAAAAAATGACATTTAGTAAAACCACCACTTAGTCCATACAGCGACAAGGTCTCAGTAAGTTCAAACAAGCAAGCACAAATTTAGTGTCAGTAGCAGCACCAACAGTTTGGACACCACAAACAAACTAGGCTGTTAACTTTTACTTTCAAGATGGGAGGTAACAAACTAGGTTGTTAACTTTTCCTTTCAATAAGGGAGGTAACAAACTAGGCTGTTAACTTTTTCTTTCAAAATGGGAGGTAACAAACTAGGTTGTTAACTTTTTCTTTCAATAAGGGAGGTAACAAACTAGGCTGTTAACTTTTTTTTTCAAAATGGGAGGTAACAAACTAGGCTGTTAACTTTTTCTTTCAAAATGGGAGGTAACAAACTAGGCTGTTAACTTTTTCTTTCAATATGGGAGGTAACAAACTAGGCTGTTAACTTTTTCTTTCAATATGGGAGGTAACAAACTAGGCTGTTAACTTTTTCTTTCAATATGGGAGGTAACAAACTAGGCTGTTAACTTTTTCTTTCAATATGGGAGGTAACAAACTAGGCTGTTAACTTTTTCTTTCAATATGGGAGGTAACACACTTGATTGTGAACTTTTTGTTTCAACATCAGAGGTAACAATCCAGAGTCAAGTCTCTTATTTTAATTCGACCAAAATACACCAATCAATAGATGTTCGATCCACAATATTACAGCCATGTTTAATTGAGGGAAAATGAATTGTTCGTGTCCAGCAGCTCGTGCTACATCGTGCTGTGTCTGCTTGCTGGACCGACACGGCTTTAACACGCTCCACCGTTCGTTTGGTTCTAGAACAGTTCCAGATCAGTTCCATTTGCCTACTGTAAGCGATACAATACCCGCCAGTTCCATTTGCCTACTGTAAGCGATACAATACCCGCTAGTTCTGTTTGCCTACTGTAAGCGATACAATACCCGACAGTTCTGTTTGCCTACTGTAAGCGATACAGTACCTGCTCGCTCCGTTTGCCGACTGTAAGCGATACAATACCCGACAGTTCTGTTTGCCGACTGTAAACGATACAATACCCGACAGTTTTGTTTGCCGACTGTAAGCGATACAGTACCTGCTCGCTCCGTTTGCCGACTGTAAGCGATACAATACCCGACAGTTCTGTTTGCCGACTGTAAACGATACAATACCCGACAGTTTTGTTTGCCGACTGTAAACGATACAATACCCGCCAGTTCCGTTTGCCTACTGTAAGCGATACAATACCCGCCGTTTTGTTTGCCGACTGTAAGCGATACAATACCCGCCGTTTTGTTTGCCGACTGTAAGCGATACAATACCCTCTGGATACAGAAAGCTGCTCACCTCGACGTTAACAGTACAAGTCAAGTGTCTCCTCACACGGAGGTGTGTAGCCCAGTAGAGGGCCCCACACAATGACGTGAGCAAGTAGAGGGCCCCACACAATGACGTGAGCAAGTAGAGGGCCCCACATAATGACGTGAGCAAGTAGAGGGCCCCACATAATGACGCCAGCAAGTAGAGGGCCCCACATAATGACGCCAGCAAGTAGAGGGCCCCACACAATGACGTGAGCAAGTAGAGGGCCCCACATAATGACGCCAGCAAGTAGAGGGCCCCACATAATGACGCCAGCAAGTAAAGGGCCCCACATAATGACGTGTGCAAGTAGAGGGCCCCACACAATGACGTGAGCAAGTAGAGGGCCCCACATAATGACGCCAGCAAGTAAAGGGCCCCACATAATGACGTGTGCAAGTAGAGGGCCCCACACAATGACGTGAGCAAGTAGAGGGCCCCACATAATGACGCCAGCAAGTAAAGGGCCCCACATAATGACGTCAGCAAGTAGAGGGCCCCACATAATGACGTCAGCAAGTAGAGGGCCCCACATAATGACGTCAGCAAGTAAAGGGTCCCACATAATGACGTCAGCAAGTAGAGGGCCCCACATAATGACGCCAGCAAGTAAAGGGCCCCACATAATGACGCCAGCAAGTAAAGGGCCCCACATATTGACGCCAGCAAGTAAAGGGCCCCACACAATAAGGTGAGCAAGTAGAGGGCCCCATTATGTGACGTGAGCAAGTAGAGGGCCCCACACAATGACGTGAGCAAGTAAAGGGCCCCATTATGTGACGTGAGCAAGTAGAGGGCCCCACATAATGACGTGAGCAAGTAGAGGGCCCCACATAATGACGTGAGCAAGTAGAGGGCCCCACATAATGACGTGTGCAAGTAGAGGGCCCCACACAATAAGGTGAGCAAGTAGAGGGCCCCACATAATGACGTGAGCAAGTAGAGGGCCCCACATAATGACGTGTGCAAGTAGAGGGCCCCACATAATGACGCCAGCAAGTAGAGGGCCCCACATAATGACGCCAGCAAGTAGAGGGCCCCACAAAATAAGGTGAGCAAGTAGAGGGCCCCACATAATGACGTGAGCAAGTAGAGGGCCCCACATAATGACGTGTGCAAGTAGAGGGCCCCACATAATGACGCCAGCAAGTAGAGGGCCCCACACAATAAGGTGAGCAAGTAGAGGGCCCCATTATGTGACGTGAGCAAGTAGAGGGCCCCACGCAATAACATGAGCTAGTAGCGGCCCCACACTGTATGTTTACAATAGCCAGAAGAGAACCGCTCTAAATGAGATTCTCTTTACAAACGTCATTGTTCTAACACCATAGGGCGCCTCATTGTGTAGGAAATATTTCCAGTTTGATATTTGAACACAATTCAAAGTTTAAGATCGCGGGGTATTGTTTTCATCTGATTTCAACCTTAGTAACACTCCAAACGTTGGTAATACGGCTGGCTGAATACCAGTCTACTCAGAACCTTAGTAATAAAGCTGAAAAAATAATAATCGTAGCGCCAAAAAAATGATACCGGAAGTGAGGTCCGATACTAAAGCATACACACTGAAATCGATTAGATCACTTAAATTTGGAGAAACATGGACAAAGCACAAATGTAAATAAAAAGTTGTTTCAATTAAAAATAACAAAACACACTATGAGCAGTGTGACTTGACTAGACAAAGACGGCAGTTGAATGTTCAATACAGTCACGAAATAAAAATGATAAATTAATAATTGTAAGAATACAAGTAACGTGTACGCCAAAATCAAGTGTAACGAAATATCAAAGATTATTGGCGATGGGTAGTGTGGTAGTAGAGGGACCCACACAATGTGGTTAGATGAGGGCCCCCACACAATGTG